GCTTGTGGGGCTGCATGCGATAGTGTTCTTCAATCCCTACACCGAGAAAATTGTCTAATAGACGTAGCTAATTTTTCCGCTGCCGTAGCTTGAAATTTTGGCAACATAGGGGACAGCCAAAATGTTTAGTTCAACAGAAGAGACTACTTGACTGCCTTTTTTTGTCGTAACAGTAAAGCTGCTTTACAGAAAAAGTCTCTACTGCCACTGGCAACATCTTTGCAGTCACAGGAAAGTAACTTTACAGTCACGAGAAAGTTATTTTCCAGTCGTAGGAAATCACTTTGCGGTCTCAGGACCTAACTTTGCTGTCATAGGAAAGAGATTTCATAGCTACAAAAATGTACTTTCTCAGTATTTTATGCCACAGGAAAGTCTTCTTCTTAACACAAAAAGATTCTTCCTAGGACAGCAAAAATAATTTGGATACTAGAAGAAAGAGTTTCTGTAGCCGATGAAAAGCAATTTTCCTTCGAGAGAAAAACATCAACAAAAGATTCTTCCCAAAAAAACTATTGTAGGTGATGTTATTTCGCCGCACTTACTGATCTTTCCAGCTTCCTATAACGGTCAGTTAGGCAATCAGAAGATCACTAAGTCAGAAACTAACAGCACCTAGCATTAACTTTTTTAGAGGAAGTTTTGCTGATATTTCTCCTCAACTGGAAGATTATACCATAGTTTTTTGCTTAGCATTGGTTAAGCTGAATTTAAACCCTAAAAGAAACTGAAAAGGCATTAAACAACGAAAAATGTGTATCATTACATAAACTTTATTCATTGAATCAAAAAGACCTTGCCAGGAACTTCAATCAAGTAAATAAAGAAAACTTCTTAAAATAAAATTAAGCTGGAGTTAATTCTTCAACTATCATACTTACAAACATCAAACATACCAAATCAACAGTCTTCCAGGAACTTAAATTTATTTATAGTCCACTTAAAAAGATCTTCAAATCAAAATTTGGGGGAAGTGACAGAAATTTTGTTTTCTGCAATGAGACATTTAAAAACGAGAAATATATAAAAAAAAAACAAATCTCGGGAGGGTAAAAAAAATTGAGAATTTTCAAATTGACTGTTATAAAGGTTTGAGGTTTCAACTTTCTTGTCACTGGCTGGGTCCGACCAGCTTGGCACTCGCTAGCCGTATGACCACTGGACTGAAATGAAATTTGGTTCGTGGAGTCTATAAAAACATGGCTCCTGACTGGTGACTGGTGAAACTAAACTGAACAGAAGGCACACGGCTGAGAAGATTTCAAAATATGCTATAATAATGAGGTAGCTACCTATACAAAAATGAAGTCGTGAGTATTTAATCACCTTCACAATTTTCCAAGGAAGAGAATAAGTCCCATTCTTCTAAGAGCTTCTTGTAATGTAATCCATAGAAAATACTACTATTTATTTTCGTATAGGCATAACCATTCTTCACGTACTATCACTACACAAATACACAACACACAGTAGCGTCATCAATCCTGCGCGTATAATTTGGAACTATATTTGGTAATCGGGAATATATCCTTAAAAAGTTATGTTATTCAAGAACAAGCGCTTCTCTACTGATGAGCTGTTATTTATCATTTTATTACTTTAACTGCTTTACGGGACCAAGGAGTAACATCTGCTGTTATTAGTCATCGACTTGAAAATGTACGTGGCACAAGATTTTCTGGACGAACCGTTCGCCGTAGATTACATGAACAAGGATTGATGTCAAGAAGACCGGCTACTTGTCCAGCTTTACAAGCAGCTCATCGTATTCAACGGTTAAATTTTGCCAGTGTCCATAGAGAGACTGGAATGACAAAGAGTGGGGATGTGTGTTATTCACTGACGAATCGCGCTCCTGTTTGCGTTCACCCGATGGACCAGAGCGTGTATGGCGAAGACGGGAGAACGATTTTCCGACTGTTGCATTACTCCAAGAACACCTTTTGGAAACGGTAGTATCATGGAGTGGGCTGGAATTACACCTCACGCCCGTACTGCCCTGGTTTTATCGAAAATGGCGCTTTAACTGCTAACCGTTATATTGAGGAATGTTTAGCGGTCCACGTTATTCCTTTTGCTCCATTTGTTGGTGAACATTTTTCTTTGATGCACGACAATGCCAGGCCTCATCCCAGCCAGCAAGGGTACGTCATATTGACGTCCTTATATGGTGATAATTCGTCAATACTCGTCACCTGACCAAAAACTGACGACATATTGACGTGTGATAAATGCCGTTCAAATGACGTGCTTTTTATCACGTAATATTGACGCGTTTTTCTGGTGATAAATGTAATACACATTGACGTCAATATATATCATGTAATATTCACGTATTTTGCTTGTGGTTCAGTAAACCTGGTTTTTTGAATTAGTTTTTTTTTTTCAATGTGTTTTGAATGTATTCCTAGAATTCCTAGGGTTGTGCCGTGTATACTGTATTCTATAGTGAATAGGAGACAAAGTGATGATACAAATCATTATTTTTTTTTCGCATTTGTAACTACTCACGAAAATTTTGATCGAATCGAATGCGAATAATACCCCTACCCTCGCATTTTTTCGACATCCTGTTTTTTAATTTTTACTACAGCAAAACTTTGATGCGTTTGAAAACACATCTTTGAATAAAAATTAAATGGAAAACTCCCATAGTTCATACTCATAGTTCCATCTCTGACTTTCAAATAGTATAGAAATAAACGGTAGAAACTGTGGAAAGGCCAGAAAGGGGACGTATTTGGTTTGTTTTTGTGTTTGGTCAACGGTTTGGTGAATGCGGAAATTACTGTATTCCTTTTATACATCGAGTGACACCGAACAAACACCGAACGAAAAACGTTCAAGCTTCTGACTTTGAGCAGCTCCGAGTAACTCAACGGGAAAAAGGAAAAGAGTAAATACAAATACACTCACTCCTGTATTTTTTTTGTTTCGAAATTCTAGCATTAGTTTAGTATTAGTAAGGGACAACAATAAATATTGCATCGCCGCGTGGGGAAACGAATATGCTATTCAGCGAATTCTATTGGTAGAACCAGTGCAGAAAAATGTTTTTTTATCTCTTTCTTATAGAAGTCGGTAGAAAAGACACGAACACACTCAGTGCGCACTAACCCTTCCAATTCGCTACTGTGTGTGTGACTGTTGACGTTGATTGTTGTGAGGGAGTTTGTTGAGGTTATGTTGTGGTTGTAGCATGGCGTGGTCGTGTTTTATTTGGTTTTCCCTCGCTTTTTGCTTTCTCATTTCCCTCCAAGTTTCCCTCATTTCTTTTTTACGCAAGTATCGCGTGGAATTATTAATTCTTGATATATTTTTCGGTTTTAATTTCTCTTCAGAATCATCCTGCTGCATCCAAGTGAAACGCCTCTATATGAATGTGAGTTTTATTCACGTGTTTGTGTTGAGACTAATAACAATCACCAACCGTAAGTATATGTCTTTTGTTTTAATATACCTTATTTTATATTATAATATACATTATTATTATTGCTTGTTCACCTAAGGGCCAACTTATGGACCAACAGGTAAGTGTCTGGTTGTTACCTCACCTAGCAAGTACTACAAGTAATATGTTTAATACGCCTACAGAATATTTATATTGTCTTTTTTTAAATATATTTTTCTCAAAAGTGATATAGTGTTGGTTCATTTTCGTTACAGGTCATATAAATTTGAAAAAACAAGGATTTATAGAAAATATATCAGGTAAATATGACGTCATTTATAAAATAGATATCACGCGAATGGAACGTTATTAATACGCCAATATCACGTTAAATAACTCATAAACTTGACGTCAAATAACACGTAAAAATGACGTACCAACTATGACGTCATTCGTCCCAGACATTAGGAAGTCATTTTCACGTCATAATTAAGTCATTTAGCTCGTCATTTCTCGTCACTTGATGACCAGTATTTAACGTCATTTTCACGTGCTGTTGTTACTTGGGATGTTGCAAGAGTTGTCAGTGATTATCCTAATGATTAGGCTAATTCGCAGTCGACAACCGGAAACCATTCCAGATCTTCGAAGAGCTTATCTCGAAGAGTGGGAAAACATTCCGCAAAGAGCTATTGCCAATTGTATTGAGAGACTACCACGTCGCATGGTAAAATAGTTATTAGAGCACGTGGAGGTAATACCCAATATTAGTGTTTGTTCATTTGAAAGTTATCTGAAATGTTTTCAATTTTTGTTATTGGTTTAAATTGTATCGCTTTCTTAAAACTTGTGCTTCCTTTGAGATTGAAGATATTGATATAATTTAAAAAAAGACATGTTAAGAAATGATAAGGCTTAAGAATATTCTGCAAAAACGCATGATTGTATCGTTGAATTATTCCACAGTGTGTTCAGAAGTTTGGGACCAAATGCAACTTATGGTTCCACCCTGTATAACACCAAATCCATTCGAACTTTTTACAAACCTAATATTAAATAATAATCAAGATAAACGCGCCTATACCATTTGACAAAAAATGATCAATTTCGATGCAAAATTGGAAAAATTATTTAGGATTGAAATTTAACAAAATTATGTTTGTCCGGTTTTTTATGTCCAGGAGTGTATGATAAGGATATAGCAGTAACGTTTTATTAATAATAATAATGTTGCTATTTTTTCTCGATCTTCTGGATTTCTACAATCATCTAAGACTCTGAACTCTTCATCAACTGCATCCTTGATCTAAAGTTATAGTTTACCACCATTTACTTCTTCAAAAGATTGATACCTTTGTTGCATTATTGCTTTTATTTTATTTGGTTCTTTTATGCTAATTTTTGGTTTAGATTCCTTCTCGTTTTAGTCTCGGATTTTCAAAGCCAATATCTGATGGCAGTCCCATGTCATGATTTATGTTCTCATCAAATAACATATTTCTTCCATGTATTTTTAGATCATATTTACTGGAACTAATTAATATCTAATTTCAACCAGAACATGATGAAAAATGGAAAGCTAAATAAGAACAACGCAGTATTAATATTTTTAAATCTTTTATATTTTATCAAGTATAAATGATACACGAAAAGTATTAATAAACATAATCATATGGCAATATATGCAAAGAAAAAAAAAATTAACACTAAAAACAAGATTCTCTTTATTGCACCTACCTCTAACGTAATATTCATTTTATGCACAAAAAAACTAACAATATTTTTGTATAAAGAAATGCAAATTAAAAAATCAAATGCAGCAAACGAAATACAATCCTATAGCGCTAAATTCTTGTCACTACTCACAGAGAAAATCTATTCAGGCGTTTCAATTTATTTTTGCGAATTATTTTTCGCCTTGTGCTATAATAAGGGACAAATCATTTATTGTTTAGGAACTCTTGCCATTTTTTTAATTAATTTTAAAGGCACCCGGATTCCTCAACAACACACCAATAATAATTATTAATATTTACAAAAAACAAAATATATTTACAATAAATTAAATGAGTATTGTTTAAGTACCAGAGAGTTTATTGTTGAAGAACCGTTTGGTTTTTATAGGAACGATACTACATTCCACTATTTATATGTATTATTATTTGCATTTCTTTTTTTCTGAGTAAAGTGTTTGAAGAAAATAATTGTATTGAGATTATTATTATTATAAAAATATGGCACTAATAAGTGTGTGTGTTTTCCTGAGTAAAAAAATCACCTGTAGTATTCTATTTTATAATATTATTATGATGGAGTATCTGTGTGTGTCTTAAAGAGAACAATGTGCAAAGAGTGTTATTAGCACCCTGTACATTTTTTTTTATTATTGCAAAAAGGTCTCAAACATTTTTATTACACTTGAGTACCATTTATGCGCAAGTGTATAAAACTATGTTATGTACAAATTTGTTGAGGTAGGTTGAAACTAGTACACTTTAAATGTGGATCATGAATAAATACTAATAGAAATTGTGTGATGAAATCAAAATATCAGATTATATCTTTTTTTTTTTGTGCAATAAATAATGAACAAAATATTGTCGTACCTGAGTAAATTGTGACAATATTATTTTTTTCAAAAATCCTAAAGGTGTATAATATAACATTTTAAAAACTAATATCTATATACAAAAATTTCTCAAGAAAAAAAAAACAATAAACTTAATTGTTATCAAAGAAAAAAACTCACAAAAAAAATGACCCGTGTTATATAAAGTTAATATTATTTAAGAAAAAACAAGTATTTATTGTTTTAGAAACTCACTGGTTATTTTTTGAGTGTCAAAGAGTTTGTTGTGTTACATAATTCAATATTATATTGGCATTTAACAGTTAAAATGCCTTAAAATCTAAAAAAATCCTTATACAATAATTAACAAACAACCTAATTTTTGATAGCTTTCTCATGGCTAATCAGGTATAACGCTAAAAAGAATAGAAGCAAAATAAGTACATATTTAAATAAGTAATAAGTAGCAAAATATTGCAGTGGAAGAACAATATTGTTAAGTAATATAATCATTAATTTTTCCTTCTATGTACATTCTCTTTTATAAATAATAAAAATGGAGAACAACCAACCATCAGCATAATGTTGCAAACCTATTATAGCAGCCCTATCGTTTTAATCTTATATTCTAATGACTCGTGATTCAAAAAAAAAAAAAAAAAAAACAAGGAAATGATTCTATATTTATTGTGATTTAAAATCTATATGTGTACCTGAAAAATTATCACTGGTTATCTGTAAATGTTTTGATTATTTTCTTGTGTTGCATTTCTGTTCCAATACATTTTGATAATCCATGGTTTGTTCACCATTACAATTCACAAAAGGAGCAAAATACAAATGAAAATTTGATTTGCTGGATATTTTCGTATTGGTAATGGTATTATTGCCAATAGGCAACCCAGGCAGCATCTACGCATTGAAGTAGTCAAATTATCCTCCGCGCGTTTTTGTGGTTTCCGTTATTGAGATAAGAGGATTTTCTGTTTTGTATTAAAATGTTTTTGTGGTTTTCGTTATTGAGATAAGAGGATTTCGAATGAAGCGTGTATAAACCCTTTGATCATTGAAGACCACCCTGATGGTATTGTTAATATACATAGTGGCCGTATTGGAAACACGAGAGTAAATGTGGATGATGCTGTATGCCTCGGAAAAAAGCAATTGATAATGGTAATATTGCCTGTGGATGTGAGCAACCAGGCAACCCAGACAGCATCTACGTATTGGAGTAGTCCAATTATCCTCCGCGTGTTTTTGTGGTTTCCATTATTGAGATAAGAGGATTTTCTGTTTTGTATTAAAATGTTTTTGTGGTTTTCGTTATTGAGATAAGAGCATTTCGAATGAAGCATGTATAAACCCTTTGATCATTGAAGACCACCCTGATGGTATTGTTAGTACACATAGTGGCCGTATTGGAAACACGAAAGTAAATGTGGATGATGCCGTATGCCTCGGAGAAAAGCCACGACAAAAAATTTGAGGAATCACTGTCGAAAGGATTTTATATTCCTTTGAAAAAGGCAGTTCTCGCTTTGTCAAATGACAAGAAACATATGTTGGTTCACCAAACAAGTATATATAACACAAAGGCTACCTACGCACGTGCCCTACAACTAATGACACGTAATGTTGTAATATGCAGCCTGCCAACTTTGTTTGGTATGAATTGTCACTAGTCCCGTTAGCACTATTTGATGAATTTGGGGACATGAATCCTTCCTCCCAAAAATCACAGCTAATGAATCAATTAAGAGTAGGGGAAAATTTGTGAACACCTTGATCATAGATGCTAGTGCTTTTTTGTGGCATGTTCATTGGCCAAAAGTTGGCACAATATAAACTTATATTGACAATGTGATTTCAGTGATCATGAAGCACGTTGAAGAACAGGACACAAAGAGGAGTTAGCAGTACTTCCATGCAACTAAGAGCGGATACACCTCTTCTAAGACGCAACAGTATATTGACCCATTCATGCAATAAAATACACACACAACAATAAAAGTCAGCTATCTAAAGATGTACAAGATATGATAGCTGGTGAAAAATCAGAGAAGGTGCATTCGATTCACAAAGAGGAAAGTGTATCAAGAACTAAATCTGATGAGGAGGATAGGCAGAAAATAAGAAAAAACCTTGTTTTCTGTTTTGTATTAAAATGTTTTTGTGGTTTTCGTTATTGAGATAAGAGGATTTTCTGTTTTGTATGAAAATGTTTTTGCGGTTTCCGTTATTGAGATAAGAGAATTTTCTTTTTTGTATGAAAATGTTTTTGTGGTTTCCGTTATTGAGATAAAGTGATTTGGAATGAAGTATGTATAAACCCTTTGGTCATTGAAGTCTAAAGCTGTACAAGTTCTGAGGTCTGGTTGCAACAATGTATGTGTAACAGAGTGTACAAGCTTTATTGCACATTGCTACGGCTATACGAGAAGGAAGTTCACAACATGTTAGATGTTCGATACAGAGTGTGGTTCTCTAAGAAAATTCCTCCTAAAATTACGGAACTTCCTCCGACAACAGAGGCATTTGAACTACATATAAAACGATTCCATTTGCAAACTTGCATTTGGAACGCAGCAGCATCTCCGTTCCATCCACCTTTGAATCCAACTGACTATGGATGGGTAAAGAATGGAGCAACACACTCAACTTCCAAGTAACAAACTTTGACCTTCCTAATTTCAAGTTGTTCAATTTCATATTATGGTTCAGTATATCAAATAGTACTGAAATCAATCATAAAATATTAGGTGTACCTTAACTCAAGGTACAAGCCCATTTTCTCGTTTGGCGGCCGCTCGGTGGACGAGGGTGACTTATGATAGGAGGAAGAAAGATAACGAACCTCAGATATGCTGACACCTTAATGCAGGCTCAAAAGAAGAACTCGTCCAAATATACAAATAATGAGAAAGTTGGACAGGATCAGCTTATGTTGAACAAAAAGGAGATTGTGAAGATCCTTTATAGATTTATTTGTGCTGATTAACAGTGAACTTTTGTTGAACTGAAACAGTGACTTCAAACCTGGATTCGACACGTCACAAACTAGTTTTCTAAATAATTCCAGAACAAATAATTAATCAAATGTCAAAACCTTTTGGAACAGAACTGTGACACTTGAAAATAATCAAGATTAATCCTTCCTGATAAAGATAAATTATTGATTAATCTATGAAATAAAACAAAGAAAAGAAATTATTGACTTAAAAACAAAATATGAGAGTGATACGGAAACATTTTGTACTTTGGTTGTTGATGATATTTAAATCTGGGTTCCTGAGTTAATGAATATATCTAATTTAAATTACGAAATCCAGTATATACTAGGTACTAATATATTTTTGATTGTAACATCTACGAATTGCTTTGTTTAACGGAAGCATTATTTAGACAATTGGAAGCTATTTATAATAAAAATTGCGGGTTTATCATTTATAAACATTAGTTTTCTGTTTTTTAAAGACATATAAAAATATTAATTATCGTTTTGTTCGAAAGGCAAAAGGATGTTTTTGTACCGCTTTTACCCTCAAGATCTTTTTTTTGTGTGTGTGTATTTTGGTTCACAGAAAATTGTATGTATACTTGATTGTTATTAACATATTTAATAATTTTTTCATATCCTATTGGCGCTTTATTTGTAATATTAGAATATCACCCAAGTAATATTATCTTATTAAATATGCCTAAACATTGTTTTGCTTGTAGGTATTTCAATTTTCTACAGCCAAGATTTTCCAGTTGGCATTTTTAAACAATAATATTGGAAAATAAATCAGTACGAATTGTTCTTTTAATTTTATTGCCATTAAAGGAGAGTTTCTTTATTTAAGAGATTAGAATGGATCGAGAGAAACTTCACTTTGAATTATCAACTTTTAGGTAATTTTGCTTAGTAAGTTACTGATGCTTTACCATATGTTAGTTGTTGTTTCAGTAGTTTGTTTGTTCAATTTTATAAAAACGAAAAGATACAACTTGTGAGATAGTTTGAGGATGATTTTCTAAACCTATATCCACTCCATTCTAATCTCTTATTTAAAAAGGAAGTATACTAGTCATTAATCAATTATTTTCACTCTAATCTACCAAGAGGCATCTAAAAAACATCAAAGTGTCAGTATATTATCATTACCCAATAATATATCTACTTTTTTTTTTAAATATAATGCACTGTAGAGGTATAAACATGTTTCAAATTCTAAATTTACCGTATACACTTTTAACCCTTATTATCTTGCACTTGCTCACTATTAACTATACTTTTATTTACTTTGAGGTAGACGGATGGAATTATGTTTTCATATTTTATCATATCTGTATAAGGGTTTTGTGGCAAAAGTAGGATTAACAATAAAATCAACAAAACATTACGTTGTTACAAATCCCACTATATGCCAAAAACTCGTATCTACAACCCAAACAGAAAACAAACAACAAATATAATAATCCTAATGAGATTAAAACTGAGGTAGATGGGATGGAATTTTAAACATTTAATAATTATGGCAAGAATAACGACACGACTGACTAATTAAATTATTATCATTAATTATTACTCAATCAAATAATCACCCATATTTATTCGCCAGCTTTAACACCTTCCGGTTCAGCTTCTTCATCGCTATAATCATCGTCTTCACCGGCCGAAGATTCTGCTTCTTCATTATCAACACGATCTCCTCCTCTGTCGTTCATCATCATGTCACCGTCGCTCCTCCTAATTTCATCATTATTGCGTTTTATCATCAGATCGTTAGCGCTTTGCATTTGCTGATGCATTTTCTCTAAAAAATGTTGCTGAGCAACCTTATCCATACCCATAGCGTTGAGTTGCGCTAACTTCGCGGCTTGCATTGCAGCTTCAGGATTCATCATGCCCATCATACCGCTGTTTTCAGTTATAAATTGAAGATAAGTGTCCAAAATAGCTGAACCAGTGGTATTCGCACCGGACACTGGTGGCGCTAGGGGCGCTGGATAAGGCTCTTTGGATAAATGCTGGAGGGAATCTATGCTTTTCGCGGCGACGGCAGGACCAGAAACGTTGAACCTGTTCTGTTTGTAATTGTTCGGGTGCAAGGGAGGCGACATCGAGAAATCTAGGCCGCCGTACCTGGACTGCTGGGACATGGTGAGATCTTCTGGATCGTTATCGCCGCATATTGAACTGTTCGTGTCGGACATGGCGCCGGAGAAGGCACTTTTCGCGTCCAGTTTGACGTCGGAACGTCTCGGACCTGTCGGCGATGCTCTGGCTCGGAGTTCGGCTGGACTGATCTTGACACCTGCTTTTGCTAGTAACCTGGAAATTAATCAAAATATTATTAAGTTGTTGATAAATATAGTTGAATTATTTAAAATTTTGAAGTAGGTTAAGATAAAACTGGTTAGTGGATGTGGAGAATTATGGATTTTTTTATATGTATAACATATTCCAAGAGCGATTGATTTTTATAGATTGCATTAGGAGTCGTTACAGTTTGTTTTAACCGCTCCAAGCACTGCTACCTTCCTAGATATTTTATGCGTGACTCTGCTTCTAGTTGATGTCCAAAATTTGTAGCCTTCTCTCAAAAGAGGTCAGCTTCCTGGGTGTTAAGGTAAAGTTCCCCCCTCTTGGGGTGTTAGCCGTACGCTTTCAAGCTATTTCAGATTTTTGCAGAAGGGAGCAGGGCATTCACAGATCAAATGTCCGGTAGTTTCTGTTGCTTGTTCGCAAGATCTGCAGTGGTCGTTGTCTGATTTGCCTATTGTTTTCAGGTGATATTTCATCAATGTCCAGTGAGCAGACCAAGGACTGTTCTAATCTTTTTCCTTATTCATGTCTTTCAGATATGTTTGCTGAGATGGATATGAACCCTTTTGCCTGTCTCTGTCCGAAAGTTATACAAATATCAAATTTTGTATACAGGGTGCCCGGAAAGTGAAATGATAATACTGAAAGGGCTGATGGCAACTGATTAGAATCCAGAAAAACATAATGTTACGCCGCCAGGATGTCAAGAATCCAATTAAGCAGAATTCTTGCAGGATTTTCTAGAAGACTAGTTATCGTGTGTATTCTAGATTGTTCATGAATAGATTTAGGGATATATAAAAAGGCCGGAATTGGTTTGTAAGTTTAAGTTCCATTTTGACTGTGATACGATTTGAATAGTGATTATTGTTGTGGGTTGTAAAGAGTTTAATTGTTGAGTTAGTATTCGAAGTAATTAGTGTCAGAGTATATTGTTATGTGGAATAAATTACTGCTGTGTTAATTGGACTTTGATTTTGGAATAAACGAACCCAATATTTCTATCAGGCAACGCAGAGCCGTGACAATTGGTGTCAGAAGTGAGACATAAGACGATTTCGCCACGTTTTGGTTGAATAGTGCGTGGACACTAGTGTTAAGTGTGAACACTATAGTGAACACTGAGACAGTAAGCAGTGACAATTACCAGAAGAGAATTAACCGATCGTGTAAATTACTTTGAAAGTGACTGTATACCCGATTTTAGACTGTGATAGTGAATCTTCGAGTGAGTTCTAGAAAATTCAATTTGGAAACCAAGAAAGATATCGAATTTCTTCGCCGATGTATTCGGAACATCAATCGTCATTCAGAAAAAGTTTTTCGAGGAGTTTCGGAAAAATTCTAGAACATTCTATTTGGGAACAAAGGGAGATATCGAATTTGTGACTTCACCAACGTGTTTTCTATATCAATCTACATCCAGAAAAGACATTTCAAGAAAATTCTAGAACATTCTATTCGAGAATAAAGCAAGTTATCCAAATTTGTGACTTCACCGGCGTGTTTGGAACTTCAAGCAAAGACCAGGATAGATAATTGAAGAAAGTGAAATTCAATCCATTCCTTCAATCTACCAGCAAAATTATCAGCATTTAAGTCAAACGTTAGAATTGCGCTTCGGAGACCATTACAGGCAAGAAGTATTCAGAACTCAAGTCATATCAAGAATTCAAAAACCCGACGAGAGTTTACAAGAATTCGAATCAGAAAATAAAAGGCTAGTGACTGGCGTTTCCTGCAGCTGGGGAAGACATGCAGGAATGGGTGGCAGTATCTGCTACTTCAGGAAAAGTAGCGAAGCCCTTGTCCGAGCATTAGAACTGGAAGCAATCTTTGGTGCCTCAACACCCAGAATACGAGCAGTGTCCATTCAAGACCCAAAGGATGAACAAAACGTCAAAAGAAGATGGTAGCTTCAAGAATCTTATGAGTAAGTTCATGGAGAAGATGAAGAAACTAGTACTAGAAATTAGACAATTGGAAAACGACTCCAAACAAACACCAACACCGAGAAACCGAGTAAAATGTTACCGGTGCCAAAAGCTTGGACACATGGAATGGGATTGTAGACTAAGGATGTCCTCGCCATCTAGGGATCGTTCCCAAAGCTTTTGGAGGTCCAGAGAAGACGCCAGTCCTAAACATCGATCTGGAAACCTGCATGAGAAAAACACTAGTCCAGCTTTGAGAAGAATGGGCCTGATGACAAGTGGACTTCGAAACAAATGAGAGATCAGGAAGCAGGCCAAGACATCGGGCAGATTCTCCATCTAAAGAAAAATGATGAATGTAGGCCAGAATGGAGGGAAGTGTCACGCAAGAGCTTGATTTACAAGAAGCACATTTTGGAGTTAACAAGACTCTGGACAAAATTCGGGAACGTTTTTACTGGGTCACTACCATAAAGACGTTAAAAACTGGGGCCGAAAATGCGACATCTGTGCTACCAGTAAAGGCCCTGAACTAAGATCTCGGGGGCTCATGAAACAGTACAACGTCGGTCTCCCATTTGAAAGAATAACGATAGATGTTGCTGGGCCGTTCCCTGAGTCAGAGCGTGGTAACAAGTACATCTTGGTTATCATGGATTACTTCAGTAAATGGCCAAAAGTTTTCGCTATTGCCAATCAAAAACCATCACTGTTGCCCAGGTACTAGTGGACGAAGTTTTTAGTCGTCATGGTGTGCCACTAGAGCTACATTCAGACCAAGGACGAAACTTCGAATCTGTCATATTTAAGAAAATTTGTGAGATCATGGGCATTCATAAGACAAGGACAACACCTTTACATGCACAGTCTGATGGCATGGTAGAACGATTCAATAAGACCATAGAGGAACACCTGACAAAAGTGGTTGCAAGGAACCAGCGAGATTGGGACAAGCATTTTCCTCTATTTTTAATGGCTTACAGGGCAGTTGTTCAGGAATCAACAGGTGAAAGTCCAGCCAGAATCGTTTTTGGAAGAGAACTCAGGTTACCTTGCGATCTGATGTTTGTACTATAACTATCAACTAACAGAAGAATGTATTATTCTTATAAAAAAGTCAATATGAATTCTCTGAAACCTCCTGCTGGTTTAAGACCACAGCACAAAGGAATGAGGCGGACATGGCGAATGAATCTGAACAGGTTCACATTATCCTACATACATGTTCAATCTCCGAGTCTAGCAGAGGCCACTAAACCTCTAGCCAGCATGTCCAAAACAGCAGGACGAAGTTGGAAAGGGATTATCAACCGATTACCCTACAGCAAACTTCTATTTTCCAAACTCCGGCAAACATGCTCAAATTCGTGTTCCTGAATGGGAAAGTACATCTTGCCGGCAGCTGGAGTGTTCCGTAACTCTCCTCCCATTTGGCCACTTGGCCACTGGGCCATTGGCGGTTCTAGAGAAGAATCCCGGGGGGGGGGGGGGGGGGGGTAATGCAATATTTGTTACCCGTACATACATCCCAGTAAGCCAAACATAGTTGGCAAATATTCGGCCATATCTCGGCACTAGTGGGTAACTGGCGGCTAATTTTGCCACTCTCTGAACGTATGTGGCCCGAATCATTTAGACAGTTCTACAGAGAGGAGAGCCGAATTTCTTCCGAAAGCGGAACAGAAGCGGTAAATGAGGGACGGCATTCAACCTCGGGATAGAAAGCTTATTCCATACCAGTACCAAAATCCGTTCTCAGGCCGAAGACCGCCCTTCACGCGCATAACCGGAGCTGGCTCTGGAACGAAAGAGCGCTGCACAAAAGAGCGCTGTAACAAAAAAGCGCTGTAACAAAAGAGCGCTGTAACAAAAGAGCGCTGCAATACAACGGCGCTGCACAAAAGAGCGCTGTAATAAAAGAGCGCTGCACAAAAGAGGGCTGTAATAAAAGGGCGCTGTAACAAAACAGCGCTGTAACAAAAGAGTGCTGCACAAGAGAGCGCTGAAACAAAAGAGCGCTGTCAGGAAGGCGCCTCCCCAGGTGGATAGGGGAACGCATCCCAGATATGGGTGGTACCGGTGAAATGAAATAGCCAGGGCGAGCCAAAAACCAGCACGGAGACGACGAATCCTCGGGCCTTGGCGGTACCCCATGGGCGGACGGGGCTCAAAGCCGAAGAGAAGGCAACCCGTCTAGAGTAGGCGACTCGATAAAGACTAAAACAATAAACCATGAAATATCGGAAAGTAAATATAATATACCCCAGGAGGGTACGGCGAGCCGCCGGGAATCCCTCCCTACTAAGGTAGGCTGCCCCACGGATTCTGGGGGAGGCAACAATCCGAATGACGTTGACAGCAAGGAACAAAGATCGACAACTACTACTATTGACCTCACATAGGATGACATGCAAAGCAAGTCCATTAGAGCAGAAAAACGACAAACTCAAGACAGTACAAAAAAAAAGGAAGCTGATAGAGACATCACCAAATCCAGTCAAAGAAGTTCCGATACACAAGAAAAAGGAAAATCCAGAATACTTTGTCCTCAGAGGGTATCTCTGAGACAAATAAAGGTGCTAAAAAAGCCAGACATCGGAGACTGGTTAAGCCAACACAGATACGAAAGCACAGAACAACTAACTATAGAGACAGATACTCAAACGAGCCCTATGAAAGAACAAAACCCAGCGAAGGAAGATATCCCTAGTACTGAGAGAAAAGTTATTTGCCCGAGATGCACTGGAAAGGAGAAAGCAGAGAATGGAAAACCGGTAGAATCAATGGAAATACGAGCCGAGACGCGAGCAACCAGGGACGTGGCCACGCAGACAGATCCCGTGGACTCAGGTGAACGATTAGTAGACACCCTGGACGGGAAACAGTCCTTCGCAGACTACATAAACCTAGAAAACCGCAAATGGGCAAAGAAACTATTCAAGAACACGGAAATTAAAATAGGTAACACCTTAGATACAAGATCTAGCGTGGTGAAAGTAGTATTGGTTGAGCCAACGGATACAGATATGGAGGAAAGCATCCAGCTTCCCTACAAAAAAAAAAGATACCCGAAACTCGCGGAAATCACTGATGACTTCGGCATAATGGAACAAACAACCCGATAAGGGGACCCAATCAGGCAAGAGGCCAAAAGATCATAAGAATCAAATAAGACGACACGGATTTGACGTTATGGGAAACGTTAATAAAACTGCGGGGGGAGACCAGGGAAGATGAGTGGGTGGCCCTTCACCACATTAAGCGGAACAGTCTCGACAAATTAAAGGAAATTACCGAAATGATATTTCATAAATCAAACACAAACGTCATAATCTACACAACATCGGTCCAACAATCGGTACAACTGGCCAGGCAAATGCTAACAGGATCAGTGGCCAACCCAGAGAGAGAAAGGCCGACATACGCAGTAATCGTTGATTAAAAGGGTGAAGATTATAAGAAACTGCTGGAGGGGACTAAAGGGAAAGTCCAAAATACGGAGGAAAGCAAAATTATTGAATCCATATGCCAGACGAAAGACGATAAGCTAATCATCACAACAGACAAAGACGATGCAGCGATAAGAACACTTGGACAAAAAATAAAAGAGGTCTATGAAGAGGCGGACGTAAAGGTGGAGGGATCAATGGAAAACGCACACAGCGAGGCGATCCACGTCAAAGGGATGGACGCACTAACAACGAGATGACGGCAGCGAAACAGGCCACACAAGTGGCAAAGGCACTCGGCCCCGAGAAAAAGACCGCCAACGCCGAGGCAAAGGAAACGGTTACGGAAATATGGCAAAACAGATGGGAAGTCAGTACAAAGGAGAGATGGCCTTTCAGATTTATCCCCAGTATCTCGGCCTGGATGGGGAAGAAGCACGGAGAAACGGACTACTTTTTGACACAACTGTTGACAGGGCATGGAAGTTTCCGAGACTACACATCCCTACACGATAAACAAAACACCAGAAAACAAATGCATATATTGCGGAGAAACCGACAATGCTAAGCACACCTTCTTTTATTGCAGGCAATGAAATCCTCAACGAGCAACCTGCACAGCAGAAACAGGCCCAATCACCCCAGAAACTATCGTAGCGAAAATGATTAACAGAGAAGAAAACTGGAGTGCAGTGATGAATATGACTAGAGAAATACTGAAGAGGAAGAATGGAGAGGAAAACATGGACGGGTACAAGACAAGATACAAATACACACATATTATCACATATGACACATAGGATTAAATTAAGAATAAAGAGATCTTTAAAACGATCTATCACTCGACACCGCCTTCTATTTAAAAAAAATGTTTCCAAAACTGCGCTCAGGTGTCATTTGTTTTTCAGAAGATGGAGAATTTGGCTTGATATCATCATTTCAAATTTCGTTGCCATATACCGAGCGGTTCAAAAGTTAAAGCGGTGGCGACGGACTTTATGTCCTTACTGTATACACTTCACCATGCGAAGTAATGCGCAAGTGGTCCCGCATGGTGGTAGGAGAAGAGGGGAAATGGTTTTAGTCGGTTGAGCCCGACACACCCCTCCACCGCCAGAACAACAGGCGGGGATAGTCTGATTTGCACGATACAACGCGACACTTCAGGGGAGTGCGTTACACAATGGTAGGAACTATACCGGCTATACACATCCGGGCAGCTTACAAAGCGGGCTTCTTGTGTTTACTGGGATATAAGTGGGTGAAGTCAGAATAAGAGGGAGCTCACCGCCAAAGGTAGGAATTTTTTTCGGGCGCCGCGCCCAAAAAGGGTAATCACCCCCGCTACCCCTCCACCTGTAGAACCGCCGGTGCGTTGGTCAAGTTACCGAATTGTGAAAACATCCACATCGGTAACACGCTTTTGAATCACGCGGTTAAAACTTGGTTTACTGGAAATTCATTCAAATTTAACGGGTTTAGCTCCTAGGTCATTGCCTCTATCGAGAGAGCCGTTCTACAAGCTTCAGCAAATGATTAGTTTTCAACCCCTGATATATATATTTTTTTTAATATCTTTTCGACAAAGTCCACAAATTAGTTAATCACGTAGAGCATCATCCAAAAAGGTTTTTAACTCACAATATTGAGAAGCATTTCGTAGCTTAGCAATAAAATTAGACACTCTTTCATCTTGTAGTTGCTGGGGCTTGTTGAATTTGAATCTTTCGGCAATAATTAATTTTGGTGACTTAACCGCTTCTTCAAAATGTCAACTACTTCTTCGTAAGTATAATCTGTAGGACTCTTTGGAACTACCAAGTGTTATACAATTTCATACGTTGGTCCACCAATTGAAGTAATGAAATAGCTCAATTTTCTTCCATTTGATACCTCGTTTACTATAAAAAGATGGTTTCTAAAACTAGAAATCAAATCACAAGGATCCAATTAACGCGGCCATTCTTCAATCCCTCGCTACGTCGCCAAAATTGAACTGGAGAACTTTATAGATTTCTTTAACTAACTGAAACAACTGGTAAACTAATAATAACAACTACATTCTAAACAATTATGACTAACTAGATGTTTGCCTACTAACATCTCCCTGCTATAAGGCACACTCGTAGGTGTGTTCAGCAATACACAACACAGGGTGACCCCTAAATACTTAAGTTCATCTGAGAGAGATAATTCAGTGCTGCATAGCATGAGGGCTCCCAGATTTAGCTTCCTTCTTTCCGTAAACGAAGCTAAGGTTGTTTTCCTGGGATTTTTCCAGCTTCTTCCTCGCTCCAGTTTTTGATTAGGTATAGTCAAGGCACTTTGCATTCGGCCTGTTATTATGCCTTCATGCTTGCCTCTGATTGTTACCGCCAGATCATCTGCGTAGCCTAGGACAGTTATGCCGACGTTGCTTAGTCTGGTACACCATATATCAGCAGTGTCCAGAGGAGAGGCGAAAGGACGTAACAATAACAGAGTATTCTAAATCTCTCAAGTTGTAAAAATTTTAAACAATCTTGCAATAATACTGCCTGATGAATAGAAATTCTCGAATGGACTGTTACAGCAAATTATCCAGACAAGTTTAGAAGCAACGTTCGCGCTATAAAAACAAGTGACGTGCCACTGGGGCAAAAGGTTTGTGATCAATCAGAGGCGAGTGTATTGTTGGAGATTCTTGATAATTCAAAGATAATAATAATTTGAAAATTAAAACCTAATAATATATTTATTTGGTGCCTAATTATTCAAGGACATTTGCTATTGTTAGATCCCATAATTCCAAGGATATGTTTTTTGCGCCCTGATTGGCACATTCAAAAATCAGGTGAGTCTGTGCACCAATCAAAACTGCACGATCTTGTTGTCGTCGCGGAGCAGGTGGCGTAGTAAAGAATTTATTCTAATTTCCATTGAAAGTAGTTGCCAATAGACGTTGAAAGGCATCATTGCTCCTGACGCGGTACGGCCGCACGCTTCTTCCTAATCTTTCTGCTCTCAGTGTTCTCTTCTCTAACGTTCTAAAAAATAGTCGAGAAAATCGGAATAAAATTGCCAGTGAACTCGATATCGGACTGATTCCGTAATTATTCAAGAAACTTTACTACGAGCTTTGGTTATTTACGTGTTTAAATTCACCATACATTTCCAATCGGGCGCTGTTGTTCCGGTTTCACCTATGTAAACTTTGCTTGTGATTTGTGATTGTGAAGCAATAGATGGTGTTTTGTTAAAGAGTTCGCTCTTTAGACTTTCATTCTCTTCCCCTTATAATTCTTAGTACAGTCCACGAAAAACAAAAAAAAAAACTTTCTTTTTTCTAGTAGGGGCATCCCATAAGTTATAAATCTTATAATTAATGCAACGCCAGTCAATAGTGAGATATTGCTTTGTGATTTAATTTAGCGACTAGTACAGATTGATTGTAGGACGTGACGAAATTAGAAAAAGTAATAGGTTCTCAAGTACCTGCTAGCTAATTCTGGATCAAAAGGCGAAGGCATCGGCAGCACAGGCAAATCTTTGGTGCTGATACCTCTGTGTTGTCGGGACATGTGCGAGTGCAAAGAGTTTCTGGATTTGGCTACGGTTCCGCACAAAACGCACCGGTAACCCGGACATATCGTGTGCTTATCTTCCAGATGCGTTCTCAGCGTGTGGGCCGACCGGTAGATTTTTCCGCATTTCGGACATGGACGGGGATCGGTGGCTCTCACTCGCATCATATCGAGAGATCGTCGAGATACTAAAATAAAAGAATTATTTTGAAATAGGTAAAATATATCAGATAAAATAAGAATAAATGTGTGACAAATTAATGCAACATCACTCATTCTACATATTATTATGATCTGCACTGAATACAGAATTAAAGAAATATATCAAAATTTGGAAAATATAATGAAAATCCAAAACATTTGAAATATTGATAAATGACCATAATTTATTCAAAGTGAGTCCAATCACTACTGAAAAATTAAAACTTTTATATTCTCGACCGTAAGGCGAATGCGTATTTTAAATGTGCTCGAATCTATTACATTACCTTCCGCTTGCTTCCAGCTTTACATCATTATTTAAAATGAAACGTTATTTTTAGCACTTAGTTTAACCAAACTGTCTTTTCACATTAACTTAGAAATTACATTAGATTAGGTACGAAATAGGACAGAGAGTAAAAGAAACATAATTCAAGTTTATCTAGCTTTAATATGTAGGTACTTCTTACATGTGAAAACTTAGTACTTACAGCTTATACTATAAATGTAAGGAACAACTATTATACAGAGCAAGTAAATGATGATGCATAGGTATACCTATTGTGATGGAGAAAATCTGCAGTATTAAAGTGGTAAATACCTATAGAGATGTGATACTTTTTTGAACATTGAAAATAATTATTTTCAAATATTTGCAAAAACACTTAACAATTGTATGCTAGAAAAATTACTCGAATTTAGATTTCTATAGGTATATATTTTGTGAGTACTTAGGTATCTGTTGCATTTCATTCAGTACTTATAGGTATATAATAAGTTAGTATCCACCTACTCTTACTAGGGTTCTTTGCTATTTAAAAAATAAATAATAATAATACAGAGTGTTTGAAAATTATGGTAAGGCATGAGAAAAAAAAAATACTTTGCTGTTAACTGAGGCATTTTGTATATGTGAGAACTCTATACATATGCCTATGACTGAAATTACCACTCGAGGGTATAATTTTGAAACATCCTGTATCTATGTAGACATTATGAGATATAAAAATTACTTTCAATATTTCAGCAAAAAATTTCTCTGCAGTTTACTGTAGTTTACACCTCGACCTAAAGATTCTTTGGTTTCTAATACATGCAGTTATCTTAACTTATTTCTAAAAATCATAAAAACATAGGTGTATAAGTAAAAAAAACATTTCAATTTTACAAAGTCCACTTGATCTGTTTCATAATAGTCCACTCCTGAAAATGTTTCTGTCTCATGTGATTCCTCACGGAATTCGGATGCGAAAACTTTTTCATACACTCCGTGACCGGACAAAACAAACTCTCCCTAGGATAATGTTCTTCCAAATGCAATCTGGCAGACGCAAGGTCCTTAAGGACCATATCGCACAACGGACATTCGTACTTGACGCTATGATGATGCACCTCCGAGATCCTCGAACTGTTTGGCATTCGATCCTCATGGTAGTTTCGGCTGTAGTCTCTCGTCGTGGCATCTGAAATGCCAAATTGTTTCGCTGCACTTTTAGTTAGTTTTATTTATATTATGACATTTAATACGGTATAGGAATTAGCCTATGACTACGTTAATTACTTAATATTATGAAAAGACAGTTTGATAATCAGTTAACCAACATATTTTTTCTAATATCATCTACTAAAACATTGCCATAGATAGGTACTATTTTATTGTTTCCAAAATCATATCAATTTTTAAATATTATTACCTATTTTGGGACACACATTAAGATTCGCATTTATAGGAGGGTTATTTGAGTGAGTAGATTACAGAGCAAAACCAATTTAACACACAACTATGAGTCTCCACTAATTAGAAATCTCGAATCAGAAGACTCTACCCATTTAACATCTAATATTGAAGATTTGTGACTAATGTAACAAAACGGCCTAAATATCCTTTTTTTTTGCTTCGTAATACAATTAATTGGCTTTTTTACCCAGCGCGATCATTCGCTAAATTTCTGACGAAACCGTGTCAAGAGCCAAGGGTTATCAGTCGGTTTCCGAAAGAGTGTGATGACTGTGTCTTGAAACACGACTCTCGACTCCTGGTTTCATGAACAAATCGCATATTTTGCTACCGATAAGAATCCCAAAAGCGTCATCAAGCTACCAATATAAATAGGCTTGTGAGCCTCCTAGATTCATTCAGTTCTGTAACGAAGTTCTGGTTTTTTGTGTTGACGTCTTCGCTGTTTTCTGTCTATTATTCATTCTCTCCCCTGGGTAAAGAACAAAATCGTTGGGTTAGCTTCGCAACTCAAATCTCTTTTCCAACATGTATCTTACCCTGAATAACAAGGCCGTTTTGTGATTCCCTTGTCGAGGAAGCCCGTGACTTTTTACCCACTTAGAATAAAATTATAACCTAGTCTTTAATTTCTGTATCTATTAATCCTTAATTTCTCATGTAACTTGTACCATCAAGGAACGCCCTATACAGGACGCTCATTGAATTCACTCCCTATCATTCCAAATCTCCGTATGTATTTGCTTTCATTTCATTTTAGTAAACATTGTTAATAACTTACTGTATATTCTTTACTTTTCTTTCATTTCCTGACCAAGATTTACCATTTGTTCAATAAACCATTATTAGAGTTTAGTAAGAAAAACTGATTCTTTTATTTCCTTTGGAAAACCCCGAACTAGCATTCCAACTAACTGCGTACAGCTCAGGTAGCAAGAACCCGCATTGGAAGAGGCGATCTAATCAGATTACTAAAAAATATCCGTTCAAAGTTACCTAGATGTTCAGTGGGACTTTAAACAAAGTCCCTGGTGGCACGCTACCGCAGTACAAAAAAGACCTTTACCAGTGCTAAAACAAAGTCTTCCTTACCCAACCGTCGCTACCAGGTGGCGGTGGTAACACTAAAGCAGACTCTCAAACTTCTAAAAATACAATATGAAAGATTCTAAGGTTTTAAAGGCTGATTTTTCAAAATTTTAGGGGTGTATTTAGGACTTTACACTAATTATGTGTCATTTACGGATACAGATCCTAGAAACGTCAAAGATTTTAAGGCTATTGATTCCATAATGCATTTTTCAAGTATCACATCGTGGCTAAAGGATAAACCTGTAGATGGCCATTAGATTTGAGGGTTCTAATGACTCCGAAGATCTCAAAGTTTTTAAAGTGTCTTAAAAAGAACACTTTAAACTTCAACTCTGAAGATATCAAGGACCATAAGGAAGGTTCATTAGTCAAGATTTTAGAATAAAGATTCTGCTTATTCAATGCCCAAGGGACAAGATAAGACGTTGAAATATCTGATTGTTTGTAGCCTTCAAAGTGTTCAAAGACTCCGAAGACAATAAAATCCAAAATGTGTTTTAGGATATTATTTGAGACTGAAAAATCGAAAGATTCAAAAGAAAAACACTTGGGGATCTGAAGATTGTGAAGGCTCCCCAGCAGTATTATTTTTAGTCGTTGTTACGAACCGGCGACTATATTGTTGGAACCTGTAAAGCTGTGGTTACTAGTGACGGCAACGTTATTGCTACGATCTCATTACAACTTTGCCAGTACGTTAGTGCAGACCTCGTGGCAGGATTTCATCAGGTACTTATTGATTTTGCATCCACGTATAAAACAGCGTTTGTTACCCCAGATGAGCACTGCGAATAACTTCGAGTACCTTTTGGTTTGGCAAACAGTCCAGTTCTTTTTCAGCGAGCAATTAACAAAATGCCTACATTTATGAGCTGTCCTTCGCGTCCTACCTTTCGGCTTTCGCACTTCTGTTACCCAACTATCAAGCTAGCCGTAACTACCCCCCCAAGTCCAACACCTGCGAAAGGCACCAAGTTTTTATACTTGGTTGGGCAAGCCTTTCCCCTGGGTACTCGTGTTAGCCGGGTTCTCCCAGCAACGTGTGACGAGTCACCGTTCGCTCTCATTTTCATGGGTAGCTACCACATCTAGGTTAATACACGTTTGTACCTTTCGACCACGGTCCGCGAACCCTTGAATCAGCACAGCGGCAAGCATTTTCACCGGAATCTGGTTGACTCGGCGCCGTAGTTTCTTGTGTTAAAAGGGCTCACTAGGTGAGTTCCTTTTCCCTTGATAAGGTCTGGGATCGGGGTTTCCCCCTACTAGCTTTTGGAACACCCCGGTTATCCATTGCCCAGATACTTGGGATAGGGTAGACGTTTAGGGGTCCTTCGCCCATGCCAACTAGTGAGACTATGGGTATTACTCAGGTTATACCTTTAACCCCCCGGCCGTACCCGGGTCCTCGTTTAACCGGACGAGTCGCGGTTCGAAGTACCGCCCATCCCCGGACGAGTCGCGGTTCGAAGTACCGCCCATCCCCGGAAAGCTAGGTTCAGCGAATTTTCAGCCAGATTTACTGGAATCGTTCGCTGAATTTTCTGCTTTTTGCGAAAGACAGACAATACCGCTACCATCTTCCTGGAAAGAGGCTAAGGAACTTTACTCAGAATTCTGGGATCGTTCGAGAGCTCCTCCATCCCCTATCGTGAGATGGTAGACACGATAGTTCGGTGGAGGTTAACAAAATTGCACCAGCGAACCAGCCATCGAAATGTGGGTAGGAACAGTGGGAATCTAGTTAATACTCGTACCTACAGCCAAAATGGGGAACATTTTGAAAGTGATGGTGATAGGTACGTAAAAATTACTATTTCTGATTTTATAAGAAGGTGAGTTTTTTGTTTGATTCATGTATGAGGTTTCCCTTCTTTTTCGTCAGCCTGCTATTATCTCTCTTTAGATACAGGTTTTTCCCAATTCTCAAGGTTGTTTGAGATAGGTAGGTTGCCTGATTACTTTATGACGTCATCTGTATGCCTCGTACATAATGCAAATCTCCATAAGGCACCCTAGATGCGTCATCAAGTTTCCCATTACCAGGAACCTTGCCCAAGTCTCTATTTTCAGCTACTTATCTCCAGTGTATTGATAAGAGAAACATCTTGAAAGATGAATCTCCTCTAACATAGAGAATAGTCTTTTTGGTTTCAT